ATATATATATATATATATATATATATATGATATATATATGATATATTGAATATATATATGATATGTTGAATATATATATATATATAGCTACTCATATGATATATTGAATAACACTATTGAAATTTGCAGCGTAGTAAGTATTTCATGTAGAGTTGTTATTAACTACTAATTAACTTCTTATTCCACAATGTAAATTTTATAATCGTGTACATTATATAGGCTGATTTAAGTATTTATCATATTTAAGTATTTATTGTTACGCGATATCGTAAAAATAATTTCATAAAGATAAGTTAAGATATATATGGAATAAAATGTAAACGACCAATGCGATTCTTGTAACTTCATCGAGTTATACGGATGCAGATGGAAAATTTGTTACGGCCCGGAAGACACAATTTCACCTGTATCTTAAGAAAATTATGAACGCAGGCAAGACGGCACAGTGACATTATTCCGAATGTATTGACAATAAACGTAGTTAATTAGCCGGTGATGAGGAAAATTGAATAAAAGTTGAGTGCAATGAAATATATTTTATTCAGGATGACGAGTTGTATGTGCAGGTCGCAGGTGCTGTTATACTCGCCACACTGATAAGAATGTATTAGTTGTTATCGATTGTAGTTACCGCTAGACATGCTATGTATATATAACGAGATGAATACAGTAGGACAGATTCCGCGTTATAAATCTGTTTATATAATAATAATACGTTATAAATTATGCTATTTCGATGCTGACGATAAGTTCAATCGGATTTATGACATATTTGAATGACATGAAATGAATTAACTATTGTAATTTAACACTATGCATAGTTTAGATTAATTAAAGACAATATAAAACACACACCTATCAACAAATACACACACACACATACACACACGCACACACACAATGTACACATACAAATTTGTTTGAATTAATTCGAGCTCTGAATCGTCGTACTGCTTCCATAGCAATAACTGTATAGTTGATGTTAATGGTACTAATCACTCGTATACTTATAATGTTCCCACAAAAAAAAAATTAACTGGAATGCATTTTTTCGGATTGATTCGAGCTCATGATATAATTTATCTTGGACAATATATACACATTTAGAGATCCGTTGTTCCATTACACTCTTATCACAGGATGTCTTCACTATCGATTACTAGTACAAAAGAGCGCGAGCTCGTTCGTCAAGGTGTGCAAAACTGTAGTTGAGGTCCATATTAATGCTGAATTTGTAATACGTCCGTGAGAGTGCGCAGATTAGCAATAATTCTGAATTTCGGTGCTGTTTTAGCTGAACTGCTAACTCTGACAGACGTTTCACTTACGTCTAGAATCTTATGTCTAGAATTATTATTCTTCGGATACCCGACACTCAGTATGTAAGCAGTTCAATGGTAGACAAAAAATACATTAAAAATAAAATATAAAGTATCCTGAACGACAAAGATTTTTCTCTTAATACCCAAATCACGATCGACGATCGTTGTCATCGTCGTCATAATTATACTCATCATCACCATCATCGTCGTCGTTGCCGTTCCTGTTTGTTGGATAGGCTATATTTTTTGATTTCAGTTAATATAAATCGAAAGTCGAAAAATATCATCGACATATTTTTCTATGTCAATAGAGACAACACGGACTAATATAATTAAAAACATAGTTAAAATCTCTGTCAGAGATTTTAACTATTTTTCACATCAAAGTTATTTTAATTTCTTTGCAAATTGAATCTGAAATTTGTAAACAAGTACTACTTTGCTTTAATTAATTTAACATAGGCTACGATTGAAATTAAATTTTAAGTCTACACGTTTTGAAGAGACATTTTATTCGATGTCAAATGGATGAATTTTGTCGATAAACATTCACTGAAGAAAAATGACGTGTAAGTCGGAGCTCTCGATGCCTCAGCCTTTTCGTACGCTGTTTAGCCGGAAAGTACGGTGACTGCTATCGACACCCGGGCCGTAATTAAATTAATTTCTGCGTCTCTTCCTTCGCCGTTATAGGCACCGGCGTGGAATAATGCACTGGCGCGACGCATTTCGACGCGGTGCGACTCGCCGTCGACGAAGATGCTCTCAACCACACTCGTGCACACTTCTCATTTCCAATTTAAAAATAATGAGAATTTACTGCGAATAGGTGAGGCTGTCGCGCACAGATACCCATTGACTACACCAACGTCTCGGCCGCGCGCGAAGTGGAATGAATTGAAAAAAATTCAATTTAGCTGCGTGGTACACCACCCCGTATAGCCACCGACCCGCCGCGAGACGTCCTTTTCTCACCATAAAGGGAACAATAGATCGAAATTTCTTTATCCCGGCTATTTATTTACTCGTATTTTTTTCGAATGAGCCATTTACGAAAAACCGGCGTTGTTAGCGTGCAATAATATCATTAGCGCGTTAAAGTAAATTTATTCGCCTGCCACTGGTGATTATTTGAACAGACCGGGGATTTAAATGTCACGGCATGTTTGAGTTATAGGCATGATGATGAGCGGCGAAAGGTCATTGCCAAGTGTCATTGAGACACGTCTTTTTCACCCGATTTCGTCGAGGATTATCGTTCGATTTTTCTCGTAGATCGTTCTCGCGCGAGTGAATACGCGTCGGTGTTGAGCGACGTTAGGTAGTAGTAAATAGGAAACAAATAAAGATCCGAGCGTGTAGCCGGCAGTCTGTCTCGGGTGCGCGCAATAAAATGTAAATTCGCGGCAATTCGCCCCGATATCGAGATCCAAGTGCCTCTCTCTCTCTCTCCGTTCGTTTCAGTGAGTAAGTAGCGAGTGCTGCGTTTGGGGCCCGCGGGCTCTGCCGTCATTTGCATGAGTAACGGTGGAGAGCGCCCGGAACGGCGCGAAGCCTAGGGTAGCGAGACGCGCGCGAGTAATTTATAGTCAATAATTCTTGGCGAGGCAATTTTCGCATCGAGCGTGAACGTTTCCTCGGAACGACGACGACGACGACGAGGGAGGCGAAACGGTGGGAAATGAGGCGGAATGTTAAATAGCCCGTCGTTGCATCGTCTTTTAGGTAGCCCTGTACACGCGGGATCATTTGTGAAATCATTTCGCCTTTCTCGCTCAAAAATCTTCGCGTATGACACATTTTTCTATTCAGTTTCCGATGACACGAAAGGTTTATCGTTATTCTTGAACGTTCGCTACTTTTTCCTTCGAGATGATTCAAATGTCTTTGTGTTTGCGTGTTTTAATATCTCGGCGGGACACATTGTTGCTCTCTCCTGCTTTTATTTACCGCACGGTGCACTACTTACGTACGGAGAGTTTAGTCACGTTGTTAAGAGAGGCGAAGATTACCTGGGCGACATAAACCGACACCGACAATGTAAGGGTGCACGGCCGATATTAAATATCAAGCCCACCCGCCTTGGAGTATCCCACCGAGAGCTATCAGACTGATAGAATATGTTCGATGTCGCGACGCTCTACAGCCCTCTTTCCAAATTCTGTATCGGACTATACACGATCACTATACACACGCCGCTTTATTTAGAGTGGCTTTTATCGCGCGTGTAAGCTCGACTTATGTCCTGAATACAACCCGTTGCTCTCGCAGTGCCAAGACGTTTCGTGGTGTGTGTTTCGTATCGTAAATATAAAATATTGTGTGTGTGTGCACCAGGACACAAAAGATCCTCGTCAATCGTGGAAGAGTTCCAAGCATGGCCATTGTATTTTACATGTCTTTCGAAGTAGCAATCGAATATCATTTTGCAATGAATGTCTTTTATGTTATAGCGCGAATTTTTCTCTTTCTTATATTAAAGGGAATTTCTCTGGCATTTCTTCTTTCGATCATCTTAAAGAAGCAATTTGAAAATATACGCTTGATGGCAGGCTTGATGATTACAAAATCAAAATAATATTCGATCAACCGCAAGCCAATAGAGACACGCGGTATAAAACAAGGACGAGAGTGAAGATATTAATAAAAGTCAAAGGGTTAATAAGTAATCATTATCAACGAAAAGAAATAAAACGCTCTTATCTTTAGCGCTGTGATATAATAAACTGAGGATTTTTCAGTTGAACAGGTTTAGGGAATCATTCCGTCGGACCATTGTTCGGCCGTGCCCCTCGAAACAAAGCATGAACCAAACGGATTAAGCCTATTATTTTGCTGTTCATTATAACAATTACCTGTTGATGGTGGGACGACGAGGTGAAGTATGCAGGGGGAGGGAGGAGACCCCGGTGAGAGAGTAATGATTGAAAATAACAGGAATCAGATAAACGTGCAATCATGCAACGCCGGGGTACTCTGCGGGTTGTCGGAAATGATCACAGATTTCAGGGCAGTGTGATCCGAAGACAAGCATTATGGTAATGATCCCCATTACATATGAGATCAGATTATAGATCATAGAATTATAAGCCTGTTATGATAAATCAGTTGTCTCGTCGTCGTGGTCATTTTTCATTACGCGATTCAATGACCGTGCTTCTACCACTTGTTTAACTGAATGTAAAAATTTCATTAAATACTTGTAAAAAATGTCGATACTTATCCTTGTTACGTTGCAGACAATAGCGTGGTATTTTCATCGGCGACAGCCTGAGATTGTGTATGGAAAATCCAATAATGCGCAAGGTACACGGCGAACAAAGAAATCAAAGGACAGTTAGCTTCCTGAGGCGATTCTGTATGTTATCGGCTTTACTCTTCGTTTGCCGCTCTTGTCGCGGGCCAATTTTCACTCGAACCGAGTGAAGCTTCCTGAAGCTTCTACGGTCGTTATGGGTATTTGTACAACACAATTTATCTCACCCCGGGGCTACGAGTCACAATGGCGGTCGTACGACGGCTCCATCAAATCGGCTCGAAGGAAACATCCGCCGTAATAATCGATTACCGACGAGTGAAAGGATGAGAAACTATTCGAAAGCACACGCATCGGCACGATTCAGAATATTTTCGAAACATCCGGTGTGTGTGATTATTGATTTTACATATCAACGGAAAACAATGATTCATGCCTCCAAATTTCTTACTCCACGATTGAGAATTCGATCTGACCTCCCGAGGGTACGCAATCCAACTATACCGTCACAGTTGGCTGTTCACTTTCGTGTTTACACATTTCCCGGAGGCCATAAATAAGCCTGTGCCACACGGTTGCCGGACACGAGCGAGGTCGCTCGCGCACGGAAAACTTGACTAATTGCGAGAAACCTCTCTGTTTCTTTCCGTCGAGATATCCTTCGTAGATGTGTTATACTCCTACTTTGAACGGCCTCGCAATATACGACTGGAGCATATCACGCGCGCGGTTTTCTCATCATTGCTGATGAGAATGATCTCTTCTATTCTACGGTAACGCCTAAATACGTAGGTAGCTATATGAGTGACACTGACCAAGTTTGGCATGATTTGACCAAACTTTTAGGGAGTAATCCCGCTATTTGTGGGGAAGTCCGGAGAGTGCGAAACGACGAAATCTCCGGTCACATAATCTAATTTCGTAAGGGTAATTGCTTCCTAATCGCGCGAGACCAATCAACCTAACCGTGTTACGGAGTCTGATTCGTTTAAGCTGCGACGTTGTCCATTGACCTTCTCTCGATGTTTACCGGATTTCTTCGTTTCTTCCCCGCACGAGATACCTATTCCACAATACGATCGAATGTTGCTTCCTCAATGATCTCCTCGCATTTATCGCAGTCTGATTGTGAATTTTTCAGCCCCGATTTCCCGAAATGATGTGCTCGTCCAAGGTAGAATCGTGCTAAATCAAACAATTTAAGCCGCATTGTACGAAAACAGACAAGGAAACACGTAGAAATGTATACGAAATATGAGAGGCATGATGAAACCGGTTTGTCGACCAACGGACGAAAACCATTGAATTCACTGGCGCCAACTAATCCGCTTGAAGTACCCTTCAGTGAGTACCGCTGCTTTCTTTTACCGCCGTCGATGCCTTCCACGATGCAAAGCATTGCCGGAAGAGGATTCTTGACTAGGTACTTGATGCACGACTTCCCTGTGACGGCGAAGAACAGCACGTTACACATCGTATTAACTGCGACGCGTTCGACGCATAAACATTGTGCACATACGATGTTACGAGAGTTGGTACATGAAAAGAAACACTCGATGGACTCTGTACAATCAACTTTGGCAAGCAAGTTGAAATTTTTACCTTTTCTAAATTTTCTTTTTTTTTATTTTAATATGCAGCAAAGAGATGAGTATAAAAAGACTCTCTTTGAGAAGTTCTTGAGAAAAATCTAGCAACGCCCATGAACGGAAATACAATCGCAACTCAAAGCAAAGGCCATCGACGGCAGCTATTTTCTTTCCTATATTTGGTTTCGTAGTACGCGGTTCGATAGGAACTAACTCAGCTGAGGTTGGCCACTCATGAATACATTATCCTTTCTAACAAGGTGAATAGGTCAAGTAGATGGAGTCGCTACGTCTGTCCATAAATCACTCAAAGGGCAGGCAAGATCGCGTCGTTCAATGCTGCTCGAGTTCTCACGCATCTGCTTCCGCTTTTTGTTCTAACATCGTCTCAACGCCTTCTCCGCGGAAAGAGCGCCTTATTCTTTTATTCAGTTGTAAAATGATCGTCGATTCCACGCTATTCATTATATCTGTGCTCGCGCGAGTTGCATTACTGTCCGTATAGTGGAAAAGCAATAATTTGACATAACGTTTGAATCGGAAACGCCACTTATATCTTACATTTTTCACAATGTTTCCTCGAAGACATCATCTTCGCGTTTTACGAAGAATTCTACGATGATCTGTGGGATGACTTTTAGATCTCAATATATGGTGGTTAATAAATACGAAAATACTTCTTTTATAAGAAACGTTTTGCTATATTTTGAATCTGAAAAGAACGAAGCTGCTTCGGATAACATAGAATAACAATTATAAGATAACGAGAATTGACGTAGAAAATGACACGCGTGTCAAGAAAATACAAAATATTAACTCAACGACACGTATAACACATGTATCAAGCATCCTGTCTGCGGAGTAAATCCGGAAATTGACGATTTAAGATTACGGGAGATTTGTTTATTTCTGTTCCTTTCTCATTGTATACCTTACAATGACATTCGATGCGCTTCAATTTTCAGTTTTATCCGTTGGCATATTGTGAAAATATATAAATGCTTGCTTTATGTATATATATATATATGTCGTCGCTTTAACCATACATAAAAATCCGAAATACAGAGAGGGTCAACATAAGAAATTACAATCGTGAGCAAATTCGTCGATATTCTCAATGTCTTTCAACCATAACTATAACGTTTGCGCTATAATAAAGCTATTTACAACTTACAATATCTTTTAATAATCGTCATTCGTTTCGTTCTTCAGTACATATTATCGTGTATACACGTAAAGTTCGATGCGATGTGTAATATCGATAGTTACTAAAACTTTGGTTACGCAAAAATAGACGCAGATGTATATGTATATATATATATATATATATATATATGTATATATGTAGTATGTATTTATGCATGCATGTATACATGCATGTCAGTATATACACACGTATGTATATATGTATATCAGAACTATTCATCACCTCACTAGAGATTTGTTAATCTTACATGTCTATAAACAAATG